TGTATTTGGATTTCCAGAAGGCATTCAACAAAGTGCTACATAATAGGTTGTTGGATAAGATTAGAGCCCATGGAATGAAAGGTAATATATTAGCATGGATTGGAGAGTCGCTAGCAGGAAGAAAACAGAGAGTAGGGATAAACGGGTCCTTCTCAGATTGGCAGGATGTGACTAGTGGGGTGCCACAAGAATCAGTGCTTGGGCCTCAATTGTGTACAATCTATATCAATGATTTAGATGAGGAAATAGAACTTAACATAACTAAGTTTGTGGACGATACAAAGAAAGGTGGGAGAGTAAGCTGTGAGGATGACACACAAAGAATGCAAAGGGAAATAGACAGGTGAGGTGAGTGGGCAAGAAGGTGGCAGATGGAGTATAACGTGGGGAAGTGTGAAGTTATTCACTTAGGTAGTAAAAATAGAAAAGCAGATTATTTTCTAGAGGGGGAGAGACGAGGCAATGTTAATTTTCAGAGGGATTTGGGTGTCCTTGTACACCAGTTACAAAAAGTTAGTATACAGGTACAGCAAGCAACTAGGAAGGATAATGCCATGTTGGCGATCGTTGCAAAAGGGTTAGAGTACAACAGTAGGGAAGTCTTGCTGCAGTTGTATAAGGCCTTGGTGAGACCGCACCTAGAATATTGTGTGCAGTTTTGGTCTCCTTATTTAAGAAAGGGCATACTTGCCTTAGAGGGAGTGCAGCGTAGATTCACGAGGTTGGTCCCTGGGATGAGGGGGTTGACCTATGAGGATAGGTTGAGTAAACTAGGCCTTTATTCTCTAGAATATAGAAGAATTAGAGGTGATCTCATAGAAACCTATAAGATTCTTAAGGGTCTTGACAGGGCAGATGCCATGAGACTGTTTCCCCTGGTTGGAGAATCTAAAACTAGGGGTCATAGTCTCAAGATTAAGGATCAGCCTTTTCAAATTGAGTTGAGGAAACATTTCTTCACTCAGAAGGTAGTGAATTTGTGGAATCTACGCCAGAGGCTGTGGATGCTCAGTCCTTGAACATCAACTGAGGTTGATACATTTCTCAAGGATAGAAGGATTAAGGGATAAGGGGATAGAGCGGGTAAATGGAATTAGGTTAGAAGATCAGCTATGATCTTATTAAATGGCGGGGCAGGCTCGAGGGGCCGAATGTCCTACTCCTGCTCCTACATCTTATAGTCTTATGGTCTTATGGAGTGTGGATGATGATGATGACGAGGAGCAGGAGGAAAATGTGAATGATGATGAAGGTGATGAATAGGGTGTGGATGATGATGAAGAAGGTGATGAAGATGGTGTGGATGATGAAGAAGGTGAGGGAAAAATCGAGGGAAACTGCTCAGCTGCTACTGCTCTCCCTATCAACATCCCACACTCCGACCACTACCTATCCCTCCTTCCACACCTTTGAACCTGTCACTCCCTCCTCTATCATCACCACCATATCCTCCATGAAGCCCACCACCTGCTCCCTGGACCCCATCCCCACCCCTCTCCTTAAATCCCAGCTCCACCTCCTTGCCCCATTATTCGCCGACAGTATCAACCTCTCCCTGTCATCTGGCACTGTTCCTAACCCCCTCAAAACAGCCACTATCACCCCCACCTTGAAGAAACCTTTCCTTGACCCAACACAGCTATCCAGTTACCAGCCCATCTCCCTCCTTCCTTTTCTGTCCAAGGTCCTTGAGAGAGCCGTTGCCTCCCAGCTTCACTCTTTCCTCTCCTCCCACTTCCTCCATGAACCCTTCCAATCGGGTTTCCGTGCTGCCCACCCTCCACCCTCAACTCCAGACTACTGGCAGCCTAACCGACTGCCTGTCCGACATCAAGTCCTGGATGAGGGATAACTTTTTTCAGCTGAACGTCAGAAAAACCGAGGCCCTCCTGATTGGCTCTCGCTAGCGCCTCTGCACCTCAGACGCTGGCAGTATCAGCCTCCACAGCTGCACACTCCAGTCAGTCTGGGTATCTTGTTTGACCCTGAATTGTGCTTTCTACCCCACATCCGCACCATGACCGACACTGCCTACCACCACTTCTGCAACATCGCCCGGCTCCGCCACTGTCTCACACCACAGGCCGCCGAGACCCTCATACACGCATTCATTACATCCAGACTTGACTTTGCAAACTCCCTGCTTGTCGGCCTCCCCAACTCCTCTCTCCACAGGCTACAGATCATCCAGAACTCTGCAGCCCGTGTCCTCTCCCGCACCAGGCTCCATGGCCCTATCACCCCCATCCTCGCACAATTCCACTGGCTTCCCATCACACAAGGAAACAGTTCAAGATCCTGGACCTCGCCTTCAAAGCCCTCCATGGCCTCGCTCCCCCCTACCTCTCCGACCCCCTGCTTTACGTCCCCTGCCTCGCTTGCTCTACTATTGGCGGATGGGGCTTCTAACACTCAGCACCCACCAAACCGCAGTCCCTCCATCTCGCCTCCTCCCTCGCCACTTCAAAACCCGCCACTTCGACCGTGCTTTCGATCTCCCTGCTGCCCCCACCCCTGCCCTCCCCCACCCCGATCCCCAGCTCGGGACGTCCTCCCGACGTGAGAGGCGCTACACAAATGTAATTTTGTTGTTCTAATCTGGAACAGAATAAATCTTCACTTTGAAGAATATGGGTTCATTAGGGACAACCAACATGGATTTGTTAAAGGCAAATCTTGTCCAACAAATCTAATAGAATTTTTCGATGAGGTAACGGAGAGGGTGGATAAAGGTAGAGCAGTTGATGTAGTTTATATGGACTTTCAAAAGGCATTTGACAAAGTGCCACATGAAAGACTTGTAAGAAAGATAGAAGCCAATGGTATAAAAGGGACAGTGGCAGCGGATCCAGAACTCACTGGGAGACAGAAAGCAGAGAGTTGAGGTGAACGGCTGCTTTTCTGACTGGAGGGAAGAGTACAGTGGTGTCCCCCAGGGATCGGTATTAGGACCACTGCTCTTCTTAATATACATAAATCATCTGGACTTGGGTACAGCAAGTACCATTTCCAAGATTGCGGACGACACAAAGTTAGGTACAGAGCGGTAAACAATGAAAAGGATAGCAGCCAACTGCAGGAGGACATAGACAGAATGGTAAAATGGGCGACACATGGCAGATGAGTTTCAATGTGGAGAAATGCAAGGTAATGGATTTTGATAGAAAGAATGAGGGGAGCAATGTAGGCGGTAATACAATCTTAAGGGGGTGAAGGAACAGAGAGACCTGGGGGTGCAGGTAAATGAATCGTTGAAGGTGGCAGGACAGGGAGATACAGCTGTAAAAAGGGCAAATGGGACACTGGGCTTTATAAATAGGGGCATAGAGTACAACAACAACAACAACAACAAGATTCCATTTATAGAGCGCCTTTCACGTCAGGAGGACGTCCCAAGGCGCTGCACAGTTGGGTCATGACCCGAGCAGGGGGAAATGGTCAGGGTGAGGGAGGGAAGGGAGGGAGAGAGGAGGGGGGAAATGGTCAGGGTGAGGGGAGGGAAGGGAGGGAGCGAGGAGGAGGAAGAGAGTCGAGAGGGGAGCTGAAGGCTCGGTCAAAGAGAAAGGTTTTGAGACCGGCCTTGAAGGAGGAAAGGGAGGAAGCAAGGCGAAGGCACTGGGGGATGGAGTTCCAGAGCCTCGGGGCTGAGAGGCTGAAGGCCCGACCACCGATAGTAGGGCGGTTGGGGCGGGGGACGTGGAGCAGACCGGAGCCAGAGGAACGGAGGGTACGGGCAGGTAGGTAGGGGGACAGTAGGTTGGAGAGGTAGGAGGGAGTTAACCGATATAAACACTGGTTAGGCCTCAGTTAGAATACTGTGCCCAGTCACCACACTACAGGAAGGATGTTAAGGCATTGGAAAGGGTACAGAGGAGATTTACGAGGATGGGACCAGGAATGAGGGACCGTGATGATGAGGAAAGGCTGGAGAGGTGAGGATTATTCTCATTGGAGCAGAGAAGGTTTCGAGGACCTAATAGAGATCTTCAACATCATGAGGGGATTTGATGGGTTAGAAAGGGAAAAACTGTTCCCACTGGTGGGTGTGTCGGTGACTCGAGGTCAGATTCAAAAGTCTCTAAAAGAAGCCGAGGGGAGGTGAGAAGAATTTTTTTTCACACAGCGAGTTGTTCGAATCTGGAACGATTTGCCTGAAAGGGCGGTGGAGGCCGATTCGATAACTACTTTTAAAAATGTGGTGGACGGATATTTGAAGAGGACGGGTTTGCGGGTTATGGGGAAAGGGCCGGGGAGTGGGACTGACATTAATTGCTCTATTCAAAGAGCCGCACAGACTCGATGGGCCGAATGGCCTCTTTTTGTGCTGTACAATTCTATGATTGTTGAAGAAGATGGTGATGGTGATGGTGGTGATGATGATGATGGTGATGATGATGATGGTGAAGATGATGATGATGTGATGAAGATGGTGATAATGATGGTGATGAGGATGATGTGATGAAGATGGTGATAATGAAGATGGTGATAATGATGATGGTGATGATGATGATGTGATGAAGATGGTGATAATGATGATGGTGATGATGGTGGTGATGATGATGATGTGATGAAGATGGTGATGATGATGGTGATGAGGATGATGTGATGAAGATGGTGATAATGAAGATGGTGATAATGAAGATGGTGATGATGATGGTGATGAGGATGATGTGATGAAGATGGTGATAATGAAGATGGTGATGATGATGATTGTGATGATGATGATGGTGATGATGATGAGTGTGATGATGATGGTGATGATGATGGTGATGATGGTGGTGATGATGATGATGTGATGAAGATGGTGATGATGATGGTGATGAGGATGATGTGATGAAGATGGTGATAATGAAGATGGTGATGATGGTGGTGATGATGATGGTGATGATGATGGTGGTGGTGATGGTGATGAAGATGAAGATGGCGGAGTTTGTTTACTGTTTGGGTTTGAATGTTGAATCTCTGTGACGGGAACCAATCAGCTGAGAGAGTGCGCGGGTGAGGGGGGGGCGGGGTTTCCGGTTCCGGTGGAGGCCGAGCGCGAGAAGGAGCGGGAACAGGCGGCGTCAGGCAGCTCAGCGCGGGCTCGGCCTCAGCTCAGCTCAGCTCAGCTCCGCTCCCCTCACACAGGTAGGCGCCCCCTCCTCACCCCCTGCACTCACTCACACCCCCCCCACCCCCCGCCGGCAGGGCACGCAGCCCCTCTCCCTCCCCCCACCCCCCTCCGCCTGCCGCCGGTAAGGCACACACACACACACACAGAGGGGCTTTACTCACCTCACAACTCACACCGCCATTTTGAGGCCTCAATGTAAACTGTTTCTGCTTTGGAAACAGGACCCCCCCTTCCCCCCCTCTCCCCCCCCCCCTCTTCCCCCTCCTCTCCTCCTTTCGGGGGCCAAGGAAAATTGTGGGGGGGAGGGGTGTGTGGGGGGGTTCAACTCACCCCGTAATAACCTCTCTCTCCCCCCCACTCCGGCCCCCATTTTGAGTCTGAATCGTTTCTGCTTTGGAAACAGCCCCCGAGGCAGCGAGGGAAGGGGGGAGTGGGGGGGAGCGAGGACTTTATAGATCAGGACAGGAGTTATGGCTGTTGGGGAGAGGCTTTAGTATAGTGGAGGGGTGTATGGAAGGGGATATAATAAGGGGGTTCACTGGGGTGGAAGGTGCACAGGGATGGCTTTGAGATCAGGAGTAAGGTTTTTTGTTTTCTTTGGGGGGAGGGGCTTTAGTTTGGTGGAGGGGTGTAGAGGGGGAATAATAAGGGGGTTCACTAGGGGTTGGGTTGGATCTGGCGGAGTGGCTTTGGTTTGAACTCCCTGTAGATTTTTATATTATTATTTTTTTCTGGTCTTTCTCTCTCTCTCTCTGCACCCCTCCCCCCCCCCACCCACCCATTCTGCACGAGTTTGTTATAATAATAATCTTTGCATTTGATACGGCGCCTTATCACGTCTTCAAGACATCTCGAAGCGCTTCACAGAATATGCTGCAAAGTGAAGTAACTACGTTTTGTTGGACTGTGTGTTTCGTTTACCTTTATTGAGGTCCATTGTGCCAAGATTGCACTGAGCTTCGTGCATTACTTGGGGAAAGGAATAATCTCCACCATCCCATCCCTGGTTTTAAATATGAACAACTGTGTCCATGGAGTCCATCTCCATCTGTGAGTTCTCCTGTAACCATATAGTGACCCCCTCCCCCCCGCACAAACTGCCCCAGTACCCATGGAATAATAATTTGGTCACTGAATCCACGACTGTTTGTGGGACCCTGCTGTTTGCCATGTTTCACCCAAAAAATATATAGTCAATTCACTTTACCGCATATTCTATTGAGACATCTCGAAGACGCGATACGGGGAAGATATCAAATCAAGGATTATTATTATACGCTTCCTTTCTTACCTCCCCCCAACCCCCCAATAAAATGCCTGTAACACTCATGGAATTACCTTCCACTGCACCCATCGGGTGTCCACGATCTGCTCTGCCCTATAGGATTAGAGTAAGGAGGCAGGTAATTGCCTCAAAAGAAACTCACTGCTTGTGCCAAGTGGATATTTTTGAAGGGAAGAATTGATCTGACATTGCCCTTTGCTGTTAGGTTTTTCACCATCTCCGAGGCTTTTCCTGGAAATGTTGGGTTTCTTGCATAGCATAGAAACTGTTTAATATTAATCCACTGCAAGTAGGTCGTTTGTTTGTACTATGTTAATGATTGGTGTTATGGTATTGCTGGTACCCAAGAGGTGTATATTTCACATATGTTCCATGTACTATATCTTGGGACATCAACTTCACAGTGAACGCCGATCAAGCATTGGTAAATGCAAAATTTGCTCAAATGCGGTTGCAGCCATCCTGTTTAAAGATGAGTACCAGATCCAAAAGCTTTCTTTGGTAACCCAAACAATTTATGTAAAACAGCTGCGCTCTGTTAAAATGCTTTGATGCTCAAGTTAATATTTTGGGCACTCAAGAATCCTCCATTCACAAAAAAGTAGTCTCGAAATATTGGAGTTCTGTTTTGCCACTGACTAGCCACTTGGAAATGTTTACTATGGGAAACAATGACCCCTGTTTTGAATAACTCCCAATACAAGTCTGTTTTTGTACCAGTATGTCGGTGCTTGATCCTCCAGCAGTAATGACTCAAATTCACCATCGCAGAACCTAAAAACAGCCATTGTTGGCCTTCAACTGTTTTGATACTGTTTTCTATGACCGACTGCCAAGATGTGTAAGTTCCACATGTAGAGTGTTTCTGGCTATTAAAACGTCAATACTTGAATTTTAATTTAATCAGTCTTTACCCAACTTTAGATTTTAAAAATATTAGAAGCAGGCCACCTTGGATGTCCACAGCCATACACTTCATAATAACAAAAGGCCTTGGCGGATTGTTGTCGGTCGGCTGGTTGTATGACATGTGAAATCATCACCATTTTTAAAAGTATCTGAACCAGATTGAATTCCACATATGTATGCCATTTACACATGAACATTTCCACATGTTTAGAGTGGAATGCACACTTAGAAGGATGCACTGTGCTATCGTTGGAGAGTTGGTGCGAGTCAAGGCTTGGGAACCCTGGGGTTGGGGGTAACTGCTGAATTTCAACAAGCTAAAGCCACATCGAGGACTGTCTGTCAACCTCTCTGCTGCTTGGCCAATTAGGAGCATTCTACCCATTAGAACGTGGGATAATGGGAGCAAAGTGGGAAGAATTCCAACTCTCTGTTTGCTCCTTCCAAGTCCTGTTGGTGAGCCAGGCTAACTGGTCTGTGGAGTGTCTTGGTGTACGAGGTCAAGATCCGACCAAGACAGCCATAAAAGCTTGGCTCAATTCTGATATTCCTTTGCCAAACTTATCACCTTGGAGTCAGTTCAGCTCCATTGCTTACCCACTCTTCCACAACAGTGGGCAATCACTAGTTGTTCTTTTCCAGATCTAAGTGAATTGCTGGATAAATGGTGTTGCTTGTCATTCAAATAATGTAATAAAACATGGTGTATTGATAAGGATGATAATTAATATATCAGCACTTGAATGGGTATTTCTCTAAAGGTAAACTTTTTTCACTATGTTGAGGGAGCACTTCTCAGATTTAGAATACTAAATGAAAGTTTCTATTTTATAAATGTTAAATTGACTTTTTTTCCACAACTTTTTTTTCTTTTCATTCTGTTACATTCCTCCGGGTTAATGCAGAGAAAAACTCGCTCCAGCAACAAAACTTTGCTACCAACAAAATGTTCAGCTCCACCTTCAGAGGCGCCCTTTTTTTTATTTCCCCACATCAGTGAGATTGCTAATTAGTTCTTAATGGTCAGTTTTGTGCAGGGAGAGGCTATTGGACGGTTATAGCCAGTAACCCAGAGTTTGCTGGATTTGACCCAAAGTTTGTAGATCCAAGTCAAACCAACTGTTCCAAACATTCCTTTCAAATTCAGAAAAGTATTCCTTTGTGTTGTGAGAATGGGATCCCCTTCCTCTTCCCCCCCCCCCCCCCCCCCACCCCACATCTTTCCTGAAGGCTGAATGACTGACTTGTTCTTCACATTTATGGCTCCTAAGATTTGATGCATCAATTTTTTTTATTTTTGTATGCTAATGCTCCTCCTGATCGTAAACTGAGTTAACACATGATAATGGATGGTTGGTATAGGAACATTTAATATTTTGAGACGGTCATAAATTGAAGTTGTGTTCAGCCATCTTGCAACATGTGTAGTAGCTATGTCTGTCGCTTTAAAGGAAAATGATGATTAAGATAACCTCAAGTTCTTTATCAGTAGGTTGAGCTAACCCACAATAAATTGTTTGGAGAACGTTTGGTGTCCTGTGTGTGGTGTCGCTGAATTTCAAGTGTCAGGTGAAAGAATTTGTGCTTCCCAGCTGCTGTTCACAGTGACCCATGCATTGAAGGTCGGTGCTCTATGTGAAAATACCTTGGTGATAAGCAGAACTTGTATGCATGACAGGATGCAGTCCTTGAGCCTCCAAAAGGTGAGGAGGTGAAAATTGGGTGTTTCTGAAGTCATATCTTTTGCAATAATGCCAATGTTCTTATTAAAGACTTTTGCTGTTAATCAAACTTAATTTTTCTTAGGTGTGCTGAGAGCCATCTGCGTGTTCGTTGATTTATCTAAACATTGTGTTATACTTTTCTTCCTCTGTCTTGAAGATCTTGTGTAATTTTGACCAAACTTTGTAAGGCTCTTAAATCTGCTCAACAAAGCCTGCAAATTTGTGTCTAAAGATTGAATTTCACCCTTAATAATTCAAACTTTGTGTTTAAACTTCACGTTCTTGACATTGCTATTTAGTTTATTGGCTGATTTGTGAACTTAATTGTGAACTTTTGTGAAACCTTAATCCAAACCCGGCTAACTCCATAAAAGTGTCAAAAAGCCATTGCTGTGACTGTTTAATCTAGGAGGTTAAAACTAGGCTCTTTATGCATTTAAAAAAAAGTATCCACTTAACTAAATTGTCACTGGGTTTAAGTTAAACATCAGGCATCATTTGCCTGATTTTTCCGTCATTGTTGACATTTTTTTAATCTACTTTTTGTTTTAAATCATTTTTTTGGTATAGCATCCCAGTTAATTTTTTTCCATGTTATAAAACCGATGATAAACCACCAAATTAAAGTGGGAGATGTTATCCTGGAAGTTTAAGTGTCGTGCAATACGCAGTGTAGTGACTCGCTAAATTGGGCGGCCGGAGTCAAATCGATTCCTGGCCTCTTGAATTATGATTTTAATATTGCTGAGTTCTGGGTTTGGGATTGCTGTTGGACCAAACTTCACTTTCAATCTCTTTATCAGGACAGTGAGACTGAAGTTGCAGAGATGCCTATTCGCCGGAACGCTAGTCCCTCTGCACAGGAGAGTCCTACAAAGAACAAACCTGCCGCAGGTAAAAAGCCAACTTAATCAAGACATTTATTTCACAGTCAAATATTTAATTTCTTGTCTTATTTTCAGGTATAGTAGATGCCTACAATAAAATACCGATTATCCTGTTTTGATTTCCCTACCTGTGTTCCCTACAATCTGTTGGTCTGGCTGAGGGAATGTATAAATGTTGAATCCTCCAGGTCTCTGCCAATACAGCCTTAAATCTTGGTGTGTGCACTTTCTCTTATCTTCCTCAGTGTTACTTATTTCCCTTCCAAAATGTCTACATTTTGGGTGTCTTACTGACGTACAATTTCATTGGCGCTGGCAGCCAGTGGGTATCTTGTTCCGGTGGCCATTTTGGAAACCTAAACATAAGTTAGTGGAGGGTGGGTTGCATCAAATTCTCTTTTCACTCAATGTTACATAATGTGCACTTACCTGCAGGGGGACGGTGGGGTCACTGAATAGTGTTGGGCATTGCAGTACTACAGCCACTTGTAGAATGGTAGCTATTCCAGCCTATAGCATAGTACTGAACTGAGCAATGCCTTTAACTGTGAGACTAATGAGGAACCTCCTACCTAGCAATCCTAAAAAGAACTTAATACTTTTTTATCTCATCATATCGATATTCTGGCGTAGCTTCTGAAATTGCATGGAGAGCATTAGTATACACTTCTTATTCAAATTAATCCTTCATGTAAGGATTAATAAAGTGATTTAATGCTAATTCGGTGACATAGTTGGGACTCTTCTGGCTTGAATGGTGTATTATTGCACCAGATAGTGCTTTTGCCTACTTGCCTATCAAGGAGTCAGCAGGCTCTTCATACTGGAAATTGCTTTGGGTCAAGCAACCTGTAACAGTGCTATGAAATATCAAAAATATCAAAAAAAAGTAGTCAAATGTTAATCTGACAGTCACTAATTGTACACGGGCGTTAATATATAGGGCACTAAAAAATGCCAATTTTTCATGTTTTTCTTTCTTAATGTTTTACTTTACTCCAGCAGTTGGCCATTTGTACTTTTCTCATTCAGACTCTTATCTTTTTTTCATAAAATCAAGATGCTGACGTGACTTCAGAAGAATCGGTGTCTGCGGAGGAGGAGCCAGAGAATGATGCTACAGCTGTGACTCAGGAGGAGGAAAAGAAAGAAGCAGAAAAAAGTGGTGATGAAGAGAAAGAGGAAACCAAGCCTTCAGAGGAGCCCAAGAAGGAGTAAAGTTCAATACTTTAGTTAGAGCATATTGTGATCTCTGCTTCCACAATTATACAATATAATAATCCTTGCATTTGATATAGCGGCTTATCACGTCTTCAAGACGTCTGAAAGCGCTTTACAGAATATACTGTCAAGTGAATTGACTGTATATTTTATGGGTGAAACTCGGCAGCCAATTGCGCACAGCAGCGTCCCACAAACTGTCATGGATTGAATGACCAAAATACAACAACTTGCATTTATACAGCGCCATTCATGCAGAGTAGCGTCCCAGAGCGCTTGACGGCAGTGGAGTACGACACCGGGGAGGGGGAAGGTGACCGGTTGAAAAGGAAGGTCTTCAGACGTGATCTGAAGATGAGGAAGGAAGGTGCAAGCAGGGGGGTGGGTTGGGGGGGAGCTCAGAGTTTAACCCCACATTTGAAAACAAAAGTAAACTCATTTGTCATGTGCTCAATGTAGCTTTCAAGAGCAAGGAAGTTTAGTATCTCTTTATCCTAATTCAGGGAGAAGGAACCAACCAAGGACAAGAAGATTAAAAAGACCATTCCATCCTGGGCCACCCTGTCTGCTAGTCAACTCGCTCGTGTGCAGAAAAATTCTCAGATGACAGCGACTGCACGGCCAAAGATGGATGCTATTGTTGTAGAAGCTATTAAGGTAGACGAGAATTTGTTTCAGTATGTTCCACTTCAGGTTTCTCCCTTCCTGAGTATAGACTGCCTCTGTCTCCTCGTCCTCCTTGACCTCTCTGCTGCCTTTGATACAGTTGAACACTTTATCCTCCTCCACCGCCTCTCCTCTCACCTCAGCCTTCATGAGTCTGTCCTTGAGTGGTTCAGGTCCTACCTCTCGCACTGTCTCCACTTTGTCTCCACATACAGCTTCTCCTCCAGCCCCTGCACAGTCTTGTGTAATGTTCCTCAGGGCTCTGTCCTTGGTCCTACTGTTCAACTGGTACATGCTCCTTCTTGGTGACATCATCCGCAGACATGGGGTCAACCTCCACATGACACCCAATTCTACCTCCCTGCTCCACCCTTGATTCCAGGATGTCTGTCAGACATCAAGTCCTAGATGAGAGTTACAGTTGAACGTCAACAAGACCGAGGCGCTCCTCATTGGCTCCCGTCAGCTCCCGTCTCCTCACCTCAGGCGCTGATAGCATCACCATCTATGGATGCACACTGCACCTTGCTAAGCCAGTCCAGAACCATGTTTGACCCTTTTTTCCCCCTTATTCGTGCCATGAACCCACTCTGCCTTCCCCCACCTCCGCAACATTGCCCGGCTCCGCCACTGCTTCACCCCTCAGGCCACCGAACCTCTTATTTACACATTTATCACATCTAGGCTCGAATACACCAACTCCCTGCTTCTTGGCTTTCCCAACTCTTCCTGAGATCGTCCAGAACTCTGTAGCTCGTGTCCTCTCCTGCACCAGTCTCCTTGACCCCATCATCCTCGTCCAATTCCACTGGCTCACCTTCTCTCAAGATAGAGTTCAAAATCCTCATCTTCGCCTTCAAAGCTCTCCACGACCTTGCCCTTTCCTACCTCTGACCTGCTAACCTCATACCAACCTCTCGGCTCAGCAGGCTCCGACCAAATAAAATTTTTTGTGAATTTTTTTTATTACCCCTGGAAAAGCAATCTTCTATTATTGATTAATAACCAGGTTCCTACTTCTAGGTAAGCAGAGGATTGAGGAGTAAGGAAACTTGCCTAATGTTTCGCTCCGCCCCACCGCCTTCAGCCTCTCTGCCCCTACCCCTTGGAACTTCATCCCACATTCCCTTCGCCTCAGTCCCTCCTTTGCTTCCTTCGAGGAACATCTCAAGACTTTCCTCTTCTATGGTACCTTCGGCCACCCTCCCTGCCCTCCACTTTCCCTTATCCCAAACCACGCGCCCACTCGGGTCCAAAACCCTGACGGTCCAGCGCCTTGGGACGTGATAGGAGCTATTCAAATGTAATTTTGTATTGTATCTTGGTAGCCTTGAACCTTGTGCGTAGGTTTTTTGTGGTGCATGGAATCAAAAAAAAAAGCACTTTGCGTTACAATAGCTTGGGCGTGAAGGGTTTAAGGCTGAGAAAGAGATCTTAAACAGTCTTTTGGTTTCAGTCCTGTTTTCAGAAGGCTGGTGTCTCTGTTGTCGCCATACGGAAATACATCATTAACAAATACCCGTCGCTGGAGCTCGAACGTCGGGGATACATACTAAAGCAGGCTTTAAAGCGGGAGCTACAACGGGGCTCTATCAAACAGGTAACTGAGAATCCTATATTACTGAATGATGTGCAAGGGTTGTGTTGTGCTTTTACAATAAATATCTCTTAACTAGTTTGACAGAGAGTCCATTAATTACTATAAAAAGTAATTGGGTGTCAGCTTAGCCTGATTCAGTAGGTAGCACACTCTCCACTGAGTCAGGTTGTGAATTCAAGCTCCACATCAGAACTTTGAACTCTAATACAGTGCTCAGGTACGTGTTAAAGATCCTACGGCGCTATCAGAAAAGAGGGGTGGAGGGGGGGGGTGTGATTGGTTATTTCAGTTCAAACGTTTCAAAATTCTCACAATTTTTAAATGAGCTATTTTGTAACCTTTGGTCTCTTAATAGGCAAATGGAGTCAGCCACAAGTGCTTGTTAATTTACTTTGCTTGTCAAAGTGGAGTCCTTTAGCGTATTGGTTAGAGCACTTAACTCACAAGTGAGGGGACCTGGGTTCGATTCCCGGCAGGGAGAAACATTAGGCAAGACCTTACTCCCCAAACCTTTGCTTACCTAGAAGTAAGTCGGAACTCGGTCGTTAGTCAATTGGAAGATTGCTTTTCCAGGGGGTAATAATCCCTTCACCAAAAAATTTTATTTGGCCCCCCCAATCCGCTCGTGTTTATGGAACACTGCTGTGGGCAATTGGCTGCTGCGTTTCGCCTACAGAATACACAGTCAATTCACTTTATAGTATATTTTGTGAAGCGGTTTGAGATGTCTCGAAGACGTGATAAGGCACTATATCAAATGCAAGGATTGTCATTAAAAAAACAAGTTTCCTGCCAGCGAGAGACTTCCCATGTTATTGATGATTTTTATTTTTCCACTTAGTGTAAGACTAGTGCTGAGAAAATTTCCACACTAGCTCAAAGTGCTGTCTGACTCCTTTAAGGGTTTGCTCAACAGCAAAAACAACGTGGATTTATGTAGTGTCCACAGCATCTCAGAGCGCTTCACAGTAACGGTTCCCACTTTACAGTAAGGGATTTGCTCTTAAACTCTTTGAAATGATGACACCTTTGTGTGTATTTATGTTAATCTGAATTGTTTTGCAGGTGAAGGGAAAAGGTGCCTCTGGAAGTTTTCTGGTGTCAAATGGAGGAAAGCAGGCACAGAAATCAAAACAGGAGAGAAGGGTAAGTAAGGATCATTAAGCTTGAAATTCAAGCATCGTGCTGCCTTTTTACCCCCAATTACCCTCAAAGACAGAACAATCAGTGCAGTTGTGGATAGTTAATAATGTAGTCCACTCCATCCACAAAGTGTGGGGTCTCAGCCCTGTGCTTTTTGCAAAACTACTCTGCGAGTTGTCTCCGTGGAAACACAGTAGGAAACATTGTGCGTGTCTCCTACCTCATGCTGTTGTGAGCTGTCGTGAAGGTGGGTGGTGGATAGTTTATCTTTTATTCATGAACTCCTGTAGCACAAGTGACTACAACACTCACCAAGCAAGAGACCTGGGTTCGAATCCCGGCAGGGTGAAACATTGGGCAAGTTTTGTTACTCAACACGTCTGTTTACCGAGCAGTAATAGGAACCCGGATGTTAGTCGATTGGCGGGTCGCTTTTTCAAAGATAATGATTCCCTAAAAAAAAATTGATCAATCAACCCACAACTGTTTGTGGGACGCTGCTGTGCACAATTGGCTGCCGTGTTTCGCTCACAATATATATTAGGTCAATTCACTTTACAGTATATTCTGTGAAGCGTTTTGAGACATCTTGAAGACATGATAAGGCTCTGTATCCAATGGAAAGATTATATTATAAACATTTGCTCTTCCCAACCTTCTACTTCAGAAGACAGCCTCTCCTGGAACAATGGATCAGCCAATCAAGTTAGAGGATGCACTGCCGATGGCATTTACAAAGCTGTGTGAACCCAAGGAAGCTTCCTACAGTCTGATCAAGAAATACCTTCTGCAGTACTACCCCAAACTCAATGCTGAGAGCAGGTAGGAATGCCCCTGCCTTCGTCTTTAATGCAGTCTATGAATAAAGATACTAGAGCGATTGTGATTACAAATGGGAAGCATCAAGGGCAGCTTGTTTGTTTGTTCCTAGTATATCGTGGTCGTTCTGTGGCAGCGACAGTTTACAGCTATTAGGAACTCCCACAGAGCTTTGTGTTTTAGTGTTAATTGTAAACTGGATAATTTACCGCCAGCAATCAGTCCGTTAGATTAATTTGCTTGATTTTTTTAAAATAGATTTTTTTACAATCTTTTTTAAAGACATAGACAGAATGGTAAAATGGGTGACACATGGCAGATGAATTTCAATGTGGAGAAATGCAAGGTAATGCATTTTGGTAGAAAGAATGAGGGGAGCAATATAGGCGGTAATACAATCTTAAGTGGGGTGAAAGTATAGAGAGACCTGGGGGTGCAGGTAAATGAATCATTGAAGGTGGCAGGACAGGTATATACAGCTGTAAAAAGGGCATATGGGATACTGGGCTTTACAAATAGGGGCATAGAATACAAGTCAGGAGGTTATGATTAACCGATATAAAACACTGGTTAGGCCTCAGTTAGAATACTGTGCCCAGTTCTGGGCACCACACTACAGGAAGGATGTTAAGGCATTGGAAAGGGTGCAGAGGAGATTTACAAGAATGGTACCAGGAATGAGGGACCGTGATGATGAGGAAAGGCTGGAGAGGTGAGGATTATTGTTATTGGAGCAGAGAAGGTTACAAGGAGACCTGATACAGGTTTTCAAAATCATGAGGGGATTTGATAGGTTAGAAAGGAAAAACTGTTTCCACTGGTGGGTGTGTCGGTGACTCGAGGTCACAGATTCAAAATAGTCCCTAAAAGAAGCCGAGGGGAGTGGAGAAGACATTTTGGGGAAAGGGCTGGGAGTGGGATTGACATTATTTGCTCTTTTCAAAGAGCCGCACAGACTCGATGGGCCGAATAGCCTCTTTTTGTGCTGTAGGCTTCTATGATTCTACATTGATTTGAGAGGGTTCTCTCTCTTATCTTTCAGTAATTGATCTTTGATTCGCTAACCATCACTGTACATTTAAGGCAAAGTTCAAGTTTGGGAATGGGTTTTCATCAGCTTTCAGCGTTCCCGAAAATTTGATCTGACTGGGAGATTCAGTACAGCACAGTTTTCCACGACTGAAGGACATCTCAAAGTGCTTTACAGAGCTGAGTGGCCACCAGATCTGGGGAAGTGATGTACAGAAAAGGGGGTGGGGAGGAAATAGGAAGAGTGAACCAAGTACCAATTGAAAATCCTGTACGTGTGGGGTGCATATTAGTCGGGAGAAGAATGTGGAGTGCATTTGAAAATGTTTACAGCAAACTTGGAACTTTGCTTTGAAAGTGAATGCTGTCAATTAATTCCCCAGACAAATCTGAGAGTTTGGGGCAGTATGGTTTTTGGTGAATTGAAATCCCCTGCAGAATGCTTTAGTATTCCCAGTGAGTGTGATGTCTTCCATTGCATCACTGCTCCAAAACTTCCAGCAACAACAACAACAAAATTACAAATGGTAAATATAGCTTACAGCTAATTGCTTTGACTAAAACATTGTTTAATTTGCAGGCCCCATTTACTGAAACAGGCTTTGCAGAGAGCTGTGGATAAAGGTCAACTGGAACAGATAACCGGCAAGGGAGCATCTGGCACATTCCAAGTAAGTTGGACAGTGGACAAGTAGTGGAAATAACATCAGTAAGAGGGTGAATAGGGTCATTCTGATGGTGTTGCACTTCCCTTCTACTCCTTCACTTGCTGCTAAGGATTATTTGTGTTTTTCCCCCTGTATGATTTTGCTCCTGGAGCTTGGGTTTTATAGGTTAAGTTTCTCACGGCTGTCGGGCTTGATCACTGCTGAGTATTGAGCCAAAGGGTGATAGTTAAAACTAGGGACAAAGATCTTGACAATCACCTGCTGGGGTACTGGTGAGGCTTGGCGAGGAGTGGGGTCATTGATGTTCAGATCCTGATACAGGTGAGAATCTAGGCTGTGGAGTTTGAGAGCTGAAACTTGTGAAAGGTGCATTTAAGAGCCCAGACAGTCCTTCCTATTTGGAGTATAGCGGGACCAAAGAGGTCTAACTATGACAAGAATAGTTAGCCTGTACGGATTGAAACTCCTTTTGATGATATTTTAACACTTTCTGTTTCAGCTCAAAAAGGTTGGAGATAAGCCATTGTTAAGCGGAGGTCCATTTGAGGATGCAATTCTCAGCGCTATCGTTGCCATGAATGAACCTAAAACCTGCTCCACCACAGCGCTTAAGAAGTACATCTCTGAGAAACTCCCTGCAGCAAACTCCAACTTTCAGAGTAAGATTTTTTTTTGCCATCTTCCACGTGCTATTTTAGAAAGACTTTAGTGGGTGTTTTTAGTGAGTTGCTATTTGGTGTTGTGCTAATGTTTTCAAGAAAACTGATACATGGAGATGATTTAAGTTCCACTGGTATCCAGCCCTTGTCGTGGCTGTTGTGGATAGGAATTTGTTGTTCCTTTTGCAATGTTAATCTTTTATGGGTCAGGCCAAGTAGTATGTCTCCATTGTGTTTTTGAGTAACAGAAAATAAATAATAATAATAATCATAATTCTTTGCATTTGATATAGCACCTTACAGCATCTTCGAGACGCCCGCCAAGCACTTCACGGAATATACTGTAAAGTGAATTGACTGTATTTTATGGACGAAATGAAGCTTCTGACATTCTGGAAATTGCTTGCCTCAATTTCTGGAGAGAGACAACAGTCTTTTTATATAGATTAAGGTTGTCTTAATTGTTTTCTCCAATGACATGTGCCTCTCTGTGCTCGATCTGGCCTTCTGGTTGCACTCATATTGGTTGTTCTCGTGTAAACCGCTAAAGTGACCATTGGCAGTGAGTGTCGGCAAGCCGTTACGTTGGACTTCTGGGGGGTTTGCAGCCAGGTCTTGCCTGTCCCCACCCGGCTGTTACACATGCACAAAACCCAAAACAGCAACAAATTACATTTGTATAGCACCTTACACATCAGGAGGGCGTCCCAAACCGCTGGACACTAGAGAATGCTGAAGGGGGACTGGTTGCAGGGACCTGTGTTTTTTCCTCTCATTGGAAAGGCCAGGGGTGGCTGAGATCAGCAAACTGCGCATGGACCGGGGCTTGAACCAGTGAGCTTAGTCTATGAACTATAGCTGTATCCACTGCATACACGGCTCCATCTGATGCGCATCAATTTAATTTGTCATATAGAGATCTAATTCCCTCTCAAATTTGCTGACGCTCCTTTAAGAGGTGTAGAGGATTTGCACTGTGTCCCCTCTCTTCCCTCGCACCAGTAATGCAGCATATATGGAAATGACTTATGGCTGTGTAATTGTTGACTCTTTGCTTCCAGTGCATTTGCTGAAGAGAACGCTACAAAAGTGTGAGAAGAACGGGTGGATTGAGCAGATTTCTGGGAAAGGCTTCAGTGGCTCTTTCCAGCTGTGTTTCCCGTTCTACCCCAGGTGAGGAAAGCTCAAATGGCTGAACACTTAAGACCACGTGCCAGGGAGAGTTTCTATCTTCTTCCCCCTCTCTTGTTTCTACCACAAATCTATGGACATGTGTTTTTGACCGACTTTGCCTGCCGCTACCTTTGCGACCTCCAGCATCCCTAGGGCCACTCCCTCCACACAGCTAACGCTGACCTGTTTCATATCCCTCCCATTGGTGGGTGAACTTTCCAACATTCTCAGGAACACCACTGGGTATCTCCTCCATCTTGCCCCCCCTCCCTACATCTTCACCTTTAAAGCCTGCGTTTATATTCACCTTTTCAACCGTGCTTTCTCTCAGTATTTTCCCTCCCCTCTTTTCCACCCCACCCAAAAAAAAGTTTGATTCCCAGTCACTATGATAGCCTTCCCAATGTAAAATGCACGTATAAATTGTTTTTAAGTGAAAGGCGCAATCAGACTCCTGACACAGCGTGCAGACAGTTAAAAGTTGTGAAGTCTCCACTGTTGAGCAAGGAGTACATTCCGGCAAAAGAAGTCAAATCTCGTATTCCCCAGCTACTTTGTCGGCAAGAATAACAAATTGAGGTGTTGTGGAGGTTCATCAGACATTCTCCACACATGTGGAGTCCTGTAGCTCAGTGGTAGCGCACTTGCCTCACAAGCGAGAGAACCTGGGTTCGATTCCTGGGCAGGGCGAAACGTTGGGCAAGTTTCCTTACTCGACTCACCTCTGTTTACCTGGCAGTAAGTAGGAACCTGGTTGTTAGTCAATTGGCAGATCACTTTTCCAGGGTAATAATCCCTTAAAAAAAAGACTGTGGGACTCTGCTGTTCCCAATTGGCTGTCGTGTTTTGCCCACAAAATATACACTTTACAGTATAATAATATAATAATTCTTGTATTTAATATAGCTCCTTATCACGTCTTTGAGACATGTCAAAGCACTTCACAGAATATACAATAAAGTGAATTAACCGTATATTTTATGGGCAAAACCTATATTCAAAGACATCTTGAAGACGTGATATGATGCTAAATCAATTATTATTCACAGGGAATGTAAAAATAGTTGACTGCTGGGCGCATCTTATTCATCTCTAGAGTTCCTTTCTCAGAAAAATGTTGAGGTTGAACTTTAAGCTCTTTAATGCCGGTTCCCTAACTTCAATTGTAAAAGTTTTGTTTTGGTTTTCCTTTGCAGTCCCAATGTTCTTTTCCCAGAGAAAGAGCAGGAGAAAGAGGAGGAGTCCGAGGAAGAGGAGGAGGAGGAAGAGGAAGAGGAGGAAGAGGAGTCCGAGTCTGAAGGGGAAGAATCTGACTTTGATGATCCACCACCTAAAAAGCGAAGGTTTGTGAACCAAAACGTGCACGTGTATGTACACAGGAGGCTCGCTTGCATTATCCACAAACGTCTAATTACAATTGCTCAAAGTGAGCCCTCAGGGAGACTGTGTTTCCACACTTTCTGATTTTGTCATTGTGCTTCTTGAACATTGTCAGACATTGAACATTGCCTCTGCTGTGTTTCAGATATTCCAGGTAAATTCAGTTGCACGGGCTCTGTTGGATAGGCCATTTTTCCAGTTGTACCACCAGCAACTATTTGGTGCAGCTCATGATTTGAGAAGGGGTTCAAGATTCTGAGGCACTAAAGGTGCAACAGGTAGAGAGAGAGCAACAATGCTAATCCCCAGTGTTAGAGATGAGCTATTAGGATAATGATAATCCTTGCATTGATATAGTGCCTTATCACATCGTCAAGAGGTCTCAAAGTGCTTCACAGAATATACTGTAAAGTGAAAAAAAACATCTCAAAGGGGATCTTATGGAGCTATGTGGTATTCTAAATGGGATTGAGAAAGTAAACCAGGAACAATACTTTATTTCAGATATGCCATGGTATCAGCATAGGTTCAGGGAAGTTCTAACACTGGGGATTAGCATTGTTGCTCTCTCTCTACCTGTTGCACCTTCAGTGCCTCGGAATCTTGAACCCCTTCCCAAATCATGAGCTGCACCAAACAGTTGCTGGCTGTACAACTGGAAAAATGGCCTATCCAACAGAGCCCGTGCAACTGAATTTACCTGGAATATCTGAAACACAGCAGAGGCAGAATGTCTGACAGTGTTCAATTAGAGTGAAATGTCTACACAAGAGAACCCTCAGCTGGAATGTGTTACCAGTCAGGAAAGAGGGAAGGGTGGGTATTCTGGATGGCCTTGTTCATCTGAATTGATCTTGTGAAAATCTCACCTCTAACTTTAAGCAGGCACAAGGCTGTCCCACGAGCCAAGGCAAAGCTACGGAGAGAGAGCAAGCCAAGGAAACCCTCACAGAAATCCAAGAGAAACCCCATAGCTGCCAGAAAAGTACCAACCAAAAAGCCAGCACCGTCGCGCCCAGCAGAGAAGCTGGCCAAGAAAGCAGCAGTGCCCAATAAGCCGCTGCGAAGTTCTTCCAAAAAGCCTCCGAGGGTGAAGAGGGCAGCCAAGGCTTCTGCACGACATTCACAGAGGCAGAGGAAGAAGTAACAGCCCCAGGTCACAACTGGTTTCTTCGGTGGTGCATGTTCTTGTTATTTGAAACATGCCCCGTAACCCAGTAAATACTGCAGCTAACCTAGAAATAGTAGGAAATTATTTTTAGATAATTATAATTGTAGAAGGCTATTTTAGATGAGCTGTTGTTCATCAGCAACTTGTTTCAACCATTGTTAATTTTTTTAGGTTATTATTGGCTTTTGACACTTTATACTTAAAGGTGCAGCCTAGTGGCAGATTTCTTGACTCTGTTTAAGCGGGGAGCAAATGAGAAATGCTGGCTTAATTTAAATAAGTAAAAAAAAAAAAAAAAAATCATGATGTGGGAACCTTATTGGGTGCTCTAACCTTTTGGGAGGCGAAAAACCCTTATTCTGATCTTCATATGTCTTCTTAAAATAAAGTAGTTGAACCACGCCTCGCCCGCCAGTGTGTGTTTCTGCAGCAGTGTGTAACCTCTGATGCTGCCACCTAGTGTTGCTAGCTTATAGGAGCCACTAATTTTAGTCTAGAGTTAAGGAAGGGGATAAATACTAAACATAACTGTAAACCCCCAAAAGTGTGAAGATTTGTAAAACCTAATGAATTATTTTAACAGTTAATTACCTTCCATGAGGTCAGGTATTTTAAAAGTGTTTTAACATTTCTCTCTGATTTATAATTGAAGACCAATGGATTGAAATTGCCCTGTGAGACACAGTTATGACAGTTGTCGCTATCTTCTGTTTTCCTTCCTTTTTTGATAAATACATTGTTGTCTGATTCAGTGTTGGAGTACAGTCCTTGCATGCAAAGCCTCATTTTGTTAAGCTTCTTCTGTAATCTTGTCTCACTTAGTAAACAGTACCGTACATTGTAATTGATGCTGTCAGAAACATAATCATTTAGTCTTTGCTGCAGTGCATATCCTCTCCTGCACTACATTCCACACACTCATTTCCCTCCCTCTACCCACACAGCTCCCCATACCCAAGCAGATCAACCTTGTCCTGATCTTCATATCAAACACGTCAAGTGCCTTCGGAACCCTCATTAAAAACTGTTTGGAACGTTCCTTTGGTCCTGATCCTCACCCCTTCTCCTCCACTTCATGAAAATGGGCTTCCTGATGAATGCACCTGCTTTAATTAAGGAACTTGCGAGCCACACAAGACATCAATGGTCAGGCCTTCAGCCTCTCTGCCCCATCATTTGGAACTCCATCCCACATTCCCTTTGCCTCGCTTCCTCCCTTGCCTCGTAAAGGCACGTTTCAAGACCCTCCTTTTCGGACACCCTCCCTGATGATGATAATGATCCTTGCATTTGATGTAGCACTTTTCGTGTCTTCGAGATGTCACAAAGCGCTTCACAGAATATGCTGTAAAGTGAATTGACTGTATAATTTGTGGGTGAAACGTGGTAGCCAATTGCGTCCCACAAACAGTCGTGGATTGAGTGACCAAATTATTATTGTGTTTTTTTCTTGAAGGATTATCAGGCGTGTGGAGTAAGGAAACTTGCCCAAGGTTTCGCCCTGCCTGGAACAAACCCAAATCTCTCGCTACCATACCCCCACCCCCCGTATCCAAATTCCTGACTGCCCAGCGCCTTGGGACATCCTCCCGATGTGAAAGGTGCTGTGTAAATGTCATTTGCACAATAGTGGTCCCCTGCCATTATCACTTTCTCTTTCAAGGAAAAACATCTGTATCTTTTCTGCTCAAAAGCCAAAATACTGCAGATGCTGGAAATCTGAAATAAAAACAGAAGTGGCTGAGAACACTCAGCATTAGGCAGTATCTATGAAGAGAGGAAATTGGGTTAACCTTTGGTCATCGGCCTGAAACGTTAACTCACTTTCCTCACTGACCTGAGTGTTCCCAGCAACTTTTTCTGCTTTACTGCTCCTGTCTAGTATTGCTGATGTGGGTTAAATAACACAATCTGAGTCAGGATTAAGTTCAAACTCCCCATTTTCTGAGCCCTAAAAGGATCTCAAAAGTGAGAATTTGAGGTATTTGTAGGGAGTTTGGGGGCTCAATTCAGAAGCCCCAGAAAGGGACTCAGTGTTCCTTAAAGAAGGAATTGAATGTTTATGAATAATGCAATTGCGACTCATCCTTCTCCACCCCCCACAACCCCCCCTTAAGCTACCCTAGTGACTAACCCAAGTGTTGACTCAAATACTAAAAACTAAATTAACTCCTCATAGTGGCACATCGAGGCTCAACTATAAATAATGGTAATGTTGGGCAATGGTCAAGACTGATGGAGCGGGGAAGTTGATGGGGTAATGAAGTTTCAGCTGGTTAGAATCCAGCAGTTACCCCAACTTACACTCTGGGGTCCCCAAGCCTTGGCTCTTGCCAACCTGTGCCTGAATGTTTCCCGAATTAGGTAAGCAGGATGTATCCCTCCAGGGAGAGAGAGAGAGCATTCCATTCCAACAATTTATCTGGGATTTCCATGTGTAGCTGGGATGCATGGAAATCTCAGCTCGGTTTGGAGACTCTTAAGCACGGTGATGCCTACCACCACCTCCGCAACATTGCCAGACTCCGCCACTGCCTCACCCCTCAGGCTACCGAAACCCTTACCCATGAATTTGTCACATCAAGGGTCGATTATGGAAATTCCCTCCTCATCGGCCTTCTCAACTCTTCCCTTCACAAGCTCGGGTCCTGACCCCTGACTGTCCAGCACCTGGGGACGTTGTCCTGACGTGAAAGCCACTCAAAGTGTAATTTTGTTGTTGTTGATGGGTTTCCGCATGTATCAGACTGATAATGGTGATGGGTTTCCCCATGTGTCAGACACCCGGCTGGCAAAACAAAATGGGATGATTGTGGTTCAAAAGAATTAAATGTAAAAAATTTGTTGGTGTGAGTTTTCAGGACAATAGCATGAATTCAAGATTGTGACTTAGAGCTTTGTTTTGCACGCTGGGTGTTGAGACATGCCGAAACCCACATCACCCTGTTTTGAGTATCCAAAGTAAATAGTTGGGTGCATGCCATCGATACATGAAAATTCCCATTTGGAATGGTTAACATCCCCAGAGCGATTACGTGTAGTTTGGCAAGACGAGGCTTGAGGATCCCAGAGTGTGGCTTTGGGTTAGCTGGAATTTAACCAGCTAAACCCACATAGCCGCCATTGAAAGCAGTATGGCAAGTTTCCTGCTGCTAGGACCACTCTGCATTTGGGGTTTGGCTTGCAGGGCTCAAAAGTTGCTAAGTGGGAAGGAATCCTACCTCCAGTGATTTGTCTGCCACTCCAAGTCTTATCGATGAGCCAGTCTGGCTGCTCTTTCATTGTCAGTGCCCTGGAGTACGGTGGACCCACCTGGCCCAGGAACCAGATACCAAAATCGCCACAGAAGGTGGAGTTTATTCAGTCATTCTATAATCAAGCATGCCATCTCTTTTTACCACAAATCCACTTCCCTGCTTCATCCTGGACTAACTGAGCCAACGGAAGCTCCTCTCCTGGAGCTCAGAACCATGAGAAACCATGGTTCTGGGATGAAGGTTAAGCGTACGGCATATCTTAAACCTTCATTGGGACTTTGCTGTTTTCGAAGAGGTTAGAGTCTTTAAAACCAGAGTGCCCTTTGCTCCTGCTCAATGCAGACCCTTAGGACAATGTCCAAGCAAAAGTTGGTGTCCACCACAAACCCCAGATATTGATTAGAATCAACAATTGGGGCTGATGCCTTTTGAATCTTCCAATCAATATTCCAGAGCCGTACAGAACCACGAATGGTCACTTGGAGGAACCGATCATTGAATCCCACTGAGTGGCCCAGTGTTTAGGAGGTGAGTGAAGCACAAGATTCCCAGGTGAATCTGCCAACAACACAATATTGTCTGAAAACAAGAGCTGGTTCTGTCAGGAATATCATTTGGGAGCGTTTATAAGAAAATTTAGCCAAGCACAAGCACACAAAGAAATTTCAAACACCGGCTCACCAAAAAGAAAATGTGGAGAAAAGAGTATCAGAAAGTAATGAGAAAGATTTGGGTATAAACATGGTTTCTTAGAAGAGTAAACTGCGTTGCAAAAAATGGGACAAATGGATTTCTGCAGTTTGTACATTTTTATGGGTTAACCCTCCTTCAGGAACGCGGGAAAAATGAAAAATAATAGCAAAAGTTGACAAATCCAGGAGTAACGGGGTATTACAATACACAAAATACCATACAAAATTACAATTGTATTGCGGCTTTCACATCGGGAGGACGTCCCAAGGTGCTGGATAACCAGGAACTTTGCACCCGAGTGGAGGGGGGGGGACTTTCGGATCAGGGCAGGTGGAGGACAGGGAGGCTGGGAGTAGGAGGGTCGGCAAAGGGGCTTAATAATAATAATAATCCTTGCATTTGATACAGCGCCTTATCACGTCTTCAAGATGTCTCAAAGCGCTGCACAGAATATATCGTAAAGTGAGTGGGAAGGATAATAATCCTAATAATCCTTGCATTTGATATAGCGCTTTTCACGTCGGGAGGACGTCCCAAAGCGCTTCACAGAACACACTGTAAAGTGAATTGACTGTATATTTGTGGGCGAACGCGGCAGCCAATTGCGCACAGCAATGTCCCACAAACAGTCGTAGATTGAAAATGGCCAATTTATTATTGATTTTGGTTTTGGAGGGATTATTATTAGGATCCTTGAGACGGACCTTGAAGGAGGTGAGGGAGGGAGGGAGCAAGGTGAAGGAAAGTGTGGGATGGAGTTCCAAAGGGTGGGGGCAGAGACTGAAGGCCCAACCGCCGATGGTGGGGCGGACCGGGCGAGGGAGAGCGCGGACAGATTGAGAAGAGGTTAGCGGGCCGCAGAGGTGGTAGGAAGCAGCAAGGTTGTGGAGGGTGTTGTCAGGGATGAGCTTTCCAAAATGTTTTAAACCTTAAAATTGTTTACCCATTCATCTTTTTTTTTCCGGTCCCTGTTCTCGTTCTGTCCATTTTCTTAAAAATTCTTGTAGATCTCTTGCAAGCGTTTGGGAGATTTGCAAAGGGAGACGCATAAGAAAAATCATAACAGTGAGAAATTGGATTGATAGATCTGCCTTAATCTAATAAAATGGTGGTACAAGTTGGACTGATTGAATGACCTCTTCTTCTCATGTTCCTAAATACAAACTACGGTACAATACAGGTACTTTAAATCCTTAATAAAATGTAATCTTCAAAAAAGGTCTGCCCGTTCAGATCGACGTTAAAGATCCTACGGCGCTATTTGTAAAGAGGATGGAGTTTCTCTCTCCCAGTCAACAATCCCCCAAATAAATCTGGTCACTCATTCCGTTGCTGTTTGTGGCACATTGCTACACATTTCACACGCAAAATACACAGTCAATCCAATTTACGCTGCATCCTGCGAAGTGCCTTGAGACCTCTCATAGATGTGATAAGGCATTATATAAAATGCAAGGGATTATTATTTATTATAAATAATAATAACACGCATCTCACCAAACAGAGACCTTGGTTTAATATCTCATCCGAAGAAGGCTCAATAATGCCCAAAAGGGATGTAGGCAGGTGATAAGTTTTGAGATAAATAGGTTGAATATACAATTGGAAATGGGAGAGGGGGGGGAATCCTTTCCCAGACACTGGGAAACCCTGTCATTTCCCTTGGTCTCAGCCTCAAGTCTTTTTTTTCAATCAGGTGTCTTGACACATGCGGAAACTCGTCACCATTGCTTAGGAGAATCGAAACCAAACTGAGAATTCCACGCATCTCATCTCTCCCTGGAGGGACACGTCCGGTTTACCTAATTCCGGAAAGTATTAGCCACAGGTTAGCAAGAGAGCCAAAGCTTGGGGGGGGGGGGGGGGCCAGAGTGTAACCCTCCGTGTCAAAATC